GAGGGGAAGAGAGAGAGAGGGAGGAAAGGGGGGGGGCGGTTGGGGATGAGAGTGAGAGAATGTCGAGTGAGGGCTGGACAATAGCAGAAATGATCACGATTCTTTAAAACGATTATCCATCGATTTCGAAACTTTTTTTTTTCCAACTAGTAAAAGTCAAGCACTGCAAACTAACATCCTCCCTTCTGCGCATTCATCCCTGCACGTTGAGCACTTGATTCTTGAGCGTGCACTTTTGTATTTATTTTTGGGGGTCAAATACAAAATGACCATGTGAATATTGTGTGAAATCCCAGCCTCCCTCTTGGATTTTCATTCCGCTACATCCACACCTTTGGTCCCATTGTGTTTTTTTGCGGGGGGCGGGGGGGGGGGGCGGGGGGGGGGGGGGGGGGGGGGGGGTCTCTGTGGTCCTTTTTTCCTGAGCCTACGAGCAGGTCGGGGAGGCTTTGAGTGTCAGTTTGTGTTCGCTTGTGTGCGTGTGTGTTTGTGAGTGTGATGACGTCATTGGCCCTGAAGTCAGCTGCTGCAGTGGAGAGAGAGAGGAGAGAGAAGACGCGCGCACACAGCCACAGTCTCTCTGTCACTGGCTCCAGCAGCCTCGCTCGCCTTTCCCGAGCCAAAATGGCAGGAGCTGAAACGCACACACGCGCACTTGGAGCAATGCGCAGTGAAGCCTAGCTTAGCTTCTTTGACGCTAGCCTAGCCGACTCTGTCCATCACCATGGAGGAGGAGGACACGGGCGCCGACCCCTATTTACCTTACGACGGGGGAGGGGACACCATCCCCCTGCGGGAGATCCCGAGACGAGGTACGAGCGACAGCCAGGGCCTTTGAGGCGCCGTTGCTATTGACGACGCGGTGCGGCGGCGCAAGGATGATCAGATTAAGCCAGAGGCCTTGCGAGCCGCGTCGGCCGCAGCCCGTCACGAGACGTCGGTCGTGCTCCAAATGTCAACCGCGTGTCGACGCGGCGGCGGGCCCCCGATAAGCAGATCGGCGGCAAGATTTACATGTCAAGTGCATGCTCGGCTACGAATCCAAGCAGGCAGTTTCTCATCCGCTAGTCCGCAAATGGCCGCCCGAGGCTTCATTCTGCGGCCAAAATACAAAGCCGCTTCCAATGAAGTCGGGACCTTGCGTTCAGCGTCAAGCCAAACGGAAGACGAGGCGCTGAATTAAATACGCTAGGAAGGCCAGGGACTTGATGCTCACACTGATCATCTTGATTGTTTTTAGCCAAGAATCATTCATTTTGAATTTTAGGGCCGCGACATGTGTCGGGAAAGCTGCGCCAGGTGGCACAAAAGTTGAGAAATGCTCATCAAACACCCGTTCGGAACGTGCCACGGGCGAGCGGGCTAACTGGGAACAGGTGGGAGCCACGAGGAGCCGGCGAGAAAACGGGACGGCGGGGCTCGTTTTCCAACATGGGGGTTGCTGGTTCCGTCGCCGACCATTAGGTGAATAAGGCAACTTTGAGTAGTTGAGGTCGAAAAGAAGAGTAAGAGTCCGTCTCTGTGGTGAATGCGCATCACATATATGACCTAAAATTGGAGGTCAGGCTGCCCACGTTGCCAGCGGAAGTTCCGGAACAACACGAGCGGAGCAGCTACGGTTTTAGCGACCTCCGAACGCACTTCCTGCGGCCACACATGCAAACAGAACGTGGGCCCAACATCTGACTCGCCGCTGTGTATTTGCTTTGCTTTGTGGGAATGACCCATAATTGGGGACCTTCTCTGCCTCTTAGTCTCACTCTCATTCTTCTGCCCCCCCCTTCCACGTGGGCGTGAGACTCGAGTCTGGTGCCGGCTTGCTTTCCTGCCGGCTTAGCTGGTGAGCGGCGACAAAAAGGCCCCGCCCGAGGCTGACCGGTGTGGGGGGCGACTCGGATTTAGCGACCCTGCTCACGCGGGTCCCTTGTTGTTTCTTTGGCCGGCTTCACGCAACGACGCCACATACTCGAGGGGCCCGTGTTGTGGCGACCGACCGGGCTCATTTGCTATGACTCGCGCCGAACGAGCAAAGGAATTGTCTCCTAAATCTCTCAGGTTTTTTTTTTTTTTTTTTGCCCGAGTCTTAAAAAGCGAGTTGAAGGACGGCCCGTTTGGCCGTGAAGGATGAAACGAACTCGAGCAGGGGGAAGTCACCCGTTCCGCCAGCGCTGATATTGAGTCTCTCTCGCCCGTGCAGGGTCCCACTATGCCATGTCCAATGGGGGCGGCGCACCCAGCAGCTCCACCCACCTGCTGGACTTCTTAGAGGAGCCCATTCCGGGCGTGGGCACCTACGACGACTTCCACACCATCGACTGGGTGCGAGAGAAGTGCAAGGACCGTGAGAGGCACCGCAAGGTAACGAGCGGTTCAACCGGTCCCAACGGGACACATCTCGTCGCATTTTAGCCCGGATTTGCAAGTTTGGGCCGCCGCCCTCTAAGATAATATTGACTCAAGTCTGACAGTTTGGATATGAAGCCGTGACTTCACGACATCATACACCACCAAAAAACAAAAAAAAAATCGGGAGCTGTCTATCAACTGCAGTGAATGAGTTAAAAAAAAAATAGGAGACTTTCTCCTATTATCCATTGTGAAGTCTGTCACTTGATTGGCACTAGAGGCCAGTCAGTCATACACGGGGCGCCCGGCTGACCGGTCAAAGGAGAGAAGCGTGGAGCGGCATTTTGGGCTCTTTGAGAAAACTTGGAAGTCCAAGGACCGTTCCGGGACGACCGACTGTCATCGGGACGTGCGCGCACGGCTCGCTCTCAGTCCGTTCGGCGCAGGTCATCGCCGTCAAAAATAAGGGCAGAACACGTACGCGAGAGTCGCATCGGGCAGTCTGGGTTCTTGCACTTATGTATCGATGCTCTGGGAATCCCCGGCGTCAAACGTTGTGTTCGTTGTGTGCGCAGATCAACAGTAAGAAGAAGGAGTCTGCGTGGGAGTTCACCAAGAGTCTGTATGACGCCTGGTCCGGATGGCTCGTCGTCACGCTTACAGGCTTAGCCTCCGGTAACGGCCTTTGTCCCCGCCTTGCAACTTGCACACCCGCTCGCCTCGCGTTTTCATCAAAAATCCCACCTTGACGATCGAACGCCACCGTCACACAACCCCACGCCGCCACACGCTGAAAGAATGACGTTCTTTCTTTTTTCAACCCGTACGGACAGCTGACACGTGTACGCCGCGGGTGTCCAAACTTTGTGGGCGGAGGGCCGCATACGGACCAACGGAAGGATGAAAGGGACACTTTCAAATTGCGTCAACTTTTTGAAACACGCTCCGGTCGGTCAAGGAAGCAAATCCGTATCGTTTGTGTCGTCTCCTTCATACCATCAGCTTTGTTTGTTTAGGAAAATAGTTTTTGGGGTGGCCAACGGCCCTCACTCTCACAGAATAGTTCCGGCTCTGCACTTCACAGCGACCCAATCTCCACTTTCAGACCCCAAAAAAGGAGAAAAAAAAAAAACGGGAGTGAGGTGACCCTTTTTCAAACAGTTTCTGGAGATGTGCAGACTGATGCTGCCCCCCCTCCCCCCTCCACGGTCCAAGAATTGTCAGCAAAGCTTGGCTGTCATCTATCTGTCCCAGACGCAGTCGTGAATGCATTCCACCAAGGACCGTCGTCACGAGTTGAAGTGGTTAAAAGCACTCCCCTACCAAGGCTCATCGATAATATTGGCGAGCGCAAAGGCGGAAATAACCCGCGAGCGCAAAGTGACGTGGCGGTTGACAAGCGCGCCACGCCGGCCGTGCCGGTTTCTCTTTTGCCTTGCGGCAGGCGCGTTGGCGGGCCTGATCGACATCGCCGCCGACTGGATGAACGACCTAAAGGAGGGCGTGTGCCTGAGCGCCATGTGGTTCAACCACGAGCAGTGCTGCTGGACGTCCAACGAGACCACGTTCGCCGAGAGGGACAAGTGCCCCCAGTGGAAGAGCTGGGCCGAGCTCATCCTGGGCCAGGCTGAGGTGAGCCGCCGAGGAATGTACATCTACTGGGCGCTGTCCTTCGCCTTCCTCGCCGTGTGTCTCGTCAAAGTGTTTGCTCCGTACGCCTGTGGATCGGGGATTCCGGAGGTAAGGGAAGAATGGACAGCGCGCTGGTTTAGTTTTTTTTTTTTTCCTCCTTTCCCAAGTGAATGAGTGAAACACTCTCTTAGTGCGCCGCCATTACTTAAGGGGTCCGCAAAACCAATTGAGAGCAGGGTCATTATCATCATCACCACGCCCCCCCCCCCAAAAAAAAAAAAACTAGCCAGTTGATGCTAATTAAGTTGAAAAAGCATTTTTGTTCACGTAATAAAAGAAAACGCTTTAAAATAACACTTAGCTTTTCATAAAAGCAACTTCAACGATCATTGTGGCCAAAATGTCCTTTGTTGCGGTCGCTTGTCCGCGTGTGCCCCGCGATGGGCTGGGAACCAGTTGAGGGCGTACCCCGCCGACCGCCCCAAGACGGCCCTGGCGCGCCCCGCCACCCTCCTGAGGAGAAAGCGCTTCAGATCACGGATGTCCTTCGTTTCAGACATGAACTTTCAGAGTTCCGTTTCAATGTCGTCATTTCGGTCTTGCTGTCTGGAGGAAGGGCGCTCGAACAGTCCTTCCTTTGGGAATTGAGATGTACTTTGTGATGTTTTTTTTTTTTTTTTTTTTGGTGTCTTGGACTCCAATAATACTCCACATTAAAATCAAAAAGAAAACAACTTGGTCAGCAAGACGAAAAACCAGTGAATGCGAAACTGGACGTTTTACACTGTCAGTTCATTCTGAAGTCATCAATATGAAGAGAGAGTCCCCGAGCTTCATGCCAAACGCAGGAGGCGGGCTCAAGAAATTGAGCATCGGTGTGAGCCAGGGGTCACGGACCGGTCCAAAGTCGATTGCGCGGGTTGTCGGGACATAAACCAAAGCCAAAAAGAAAGATTTGGGTGTCCGTGTGGGTGTCGCAAATATTCTCTATTTTGCTGCTCGTGCACGCTGCACCCCGAGCGTGTTAGGGGCCCCGACATTCTTCGCGGTGTGCCCGCGCAGTAAGGGGTCGGTTGCGGGAGGTGGCTTGCTTGCAAAGTAGCTCTTGGGTCCCAAAAAAAAAATGATTGGCCACCCCCTGGTGCAAACCTTCAAGCAACTGCCCCTTCTAAGTACCCACGTGTGCTGAGGGCAGCGACCTGCGCAGTCCCGTAGGGGGCGGCAAAGGTGAGCGTCGCCCCTGGGCTCCGTCGAGGCCAGCTTCGGCGCTCCGAACTCCGGACCCGTGCTCTGCCCCTCAGATCAAGACCATCCTGAGCGGGTTCATCATCAGGGGCTACCTGGGCAAGTGGACCCTGATGATCAAGACGGTGACTCTGGTGCTGGCGGTGGCGTCGGGCCTGAGTCTGGGCAAGGAGGGCCCGCTGGTGCACGTGGCGTGCTGCTGCGGCAACATCTTCTCCTACCTCTTCCCCAAGTACAGCAAGAACGAGGCCAAGAAGCGAGAGGTGGGCGCCCCGCCGTTTCCGCCCCGCCTTTTGCCATTTTCCGTTGACGCTTCGTCTCGCCTCAGGTCCTGTCCGCCGCCTCGGCAGCCGGCGTGTCGGTGGCGTTCGGGGCGCCCATCGGCGGCGTTCTCTTCAGCCTGGAAGAGGTGACCCCGGCGGGAGCTCGGCGCAGGTTTGTTTGCCGGCGGGACGCCGCTTGACGCCTCTCCCGTCCCCCCCCCGCCAGGTCAGCTACTACTTCCCTCTCAAGACGCTGTGGCGCTCCTTTTTCGCCGCCCTCGTGGCCGCCTTTGTCCTGCGTTCCATCAACCCGTTTGGAAACAGCCGCCTGGTGCTGTTCTACGTGGAGTACCACACGCCCTGGTACCTGTTTGAGCTCATCCCCTTCATCCTGCTGGGCGTTTTCGGGGGCCTGTGGGGCGCCTTCTTCATCCGGGCCAACATCGCTTGGTGCCGGCGACGGAAATCCACCCGCTTCGGCAAGTGCTTCGGCGTTTGCGAATACACCCGTGAAAGTCAGCGTTTCTTGAACTAGTCTTTCCTGGAAACGCTGATTTCAAAAACCGACCCGTCCGGCCAAGATCTTTTTCAATTCATGAATCGTGCGATCCAATCGCCCGTATTTTGACGGGCCCAAATCAGGGCGGGCTTCCAAATTGAGGGCGCAGAAGATGCACTCGAACGCATCACGAGGGAGTCCGAGCGCGCGGCCTCAAGGGTGACGGCGGGCCGTCGGTTTCCCCCTCAGGCAAGTACCCGGTTTTGGAGGTGATCCTGGTGGCGGCCATCACGGCCGTGGTGGCCTTCCCCAACCCGTACACGCGGCAGAACACCAGCGAGCTGATCAAGGAGCTCTTCACCGACTGCGGCCCGCTGGAGTCCTCGCAGCTCTGCCAATACCGCAGCCAGATGAACGGCAGCAAGGCCTTCACGGACAACCCCAACCGGCCCGCCGGGCCCGGCGTCTACGCCGCCATGTGGCAGCTCTGCCTCGCGCTCATCTTCAAAATCATCATGACCATCTTCACGTTCGGCCTCAAGGTGAAGCCCGCGTTCGCGCGTCGGCGTGACGCACGTTCGCCAGCGAACCGCCTCGCCGACTCTGCCCCGCCCCCCCCCCCTCCAGGTTCCGTCGGGTTTGTTCATTCCCAGCATGGCCATCGGGGCCATCGCGGGGCGGATCGTCGGCATCGCCGTGGAGCAGCTGGCGTATTACCACCACGACTGGTTCCTGTTCAAAGAGTGGTGCGAGGTTGGCGCCGACTGCATCACGCCGGGCCTCTACGCCATGGTGGGGGCCGCGGCCTGCCTCGGTGAGTGCCGCGTGGCTTTTTGGGGAAGCCGGACAAGAGGCGGCTTTTGAACGGCCGTTTTCCTCGGGTGCTGCCGCGCAGGCGGCGTGACCCGCATGACCGTCTCCTTGGTGGTCATCGTCTTCGAGCTGACGGGCGGCCTGGAGTACATCGTGCCCCTCATGGCCGCCGTCATGACGAGCAAATGGGTGGGCGACGCTTTCGGCCGCGAGGGCATCTATGAGGCCCACATCCGTCTCAACGGGTACCCCTTCCTGGACGCCAAGGAGGAATTCACGCACACCACGCTCGCCAGGGAGGTGATGCGGCCGCGCCGCTGCGACCCGCCGCTGGCCGTGCTGACGCAGGACGACCTGAGCGTGGAGGACCTGCAGGGGGTCATCAACGAAACCAGCTACAACGGTTTCCCCGTCATCGTGTCCAAGGAGTCCCAGAGGCTCGTGGGTTTCGCTCTGCGCAGGGACATCACCATCGCCATCGGTAACCGCACCCGCCGCACCTTTTTTTGTCCCGGAAACGCTTGAGTAGTCCTGGGAAAGAAATGTTTTGGGCAACGACGTTGAAAAGCTGCGCGTTTGAACGTGGCCGCGGTCGAGCCTCAAGCGGGCTCCTTCCTTTGCACTCCGACAGAGAACGCCCGGCGCAAACAGGAGGGCATCATGTTGAACTCCCGGGTGTACTTCACCCAGCACGCCCCCACCCTGCCCGCCGACAGCCCCCGGCCCCTCAAGCTGCGCTCCATCCTGGACATGAGCCCTTTCACCGTCACCGACCACACCCCCATGGAGATTGTGGTGGACATCTTCCGCAAGCTGGGCCTGCGCCAGTGCCTGGTCACCCACAACGGGTGAGTGCCCGTCGTCCCTCCTGCGTCGCCGCGCCTCACGCTCGCGCCGACCGCGCCCCCGTTTCCCCGGTGCCGCCGCGTCGTTCCGGGCCAGCTGTGCCAGTAACGGGTGTCTCTTGCAGGATATTGTTGGGCATCATCACAAAGAAGAATATATTAGAGCATCTGGAGGAGCTCAAGCGCCACACAGAGTCCCTGGTGACTAGCCAACGCACTCGCCCGGCCCGGCCGAGCCTTTTGGGAAGGGATGCATGAAATGCGGTGTGGGGGGGGGGGTTAAAAAAAAAAAAAGCGGCGGCTTTATCCTCCTGCTTTCACTTCCTGCTTGGGTGCGGCTTACTTAGGAAGAGCTCATCCACGTTGTAGTCCCGCTGTAGTCGATTTGCCGCATTCCTGGCGGATGTAGCGAAGAGCCCGAGCCGTAGATTGTTCACTAGTACACAGTGCAGCGGCCGTCGTGGTAGGTGAACCGCATCGTGGTCGCCGTAGCCAAACATCTGACACATTGCAGTCGCCGCACGACAGCAGGGAGGCGCGGTCGTCGATGAGCCACGGTCCGGAACCCAGAGCCGAAGAGCCTTCATCTATCCGTAAAGCTGTCGATTCTTCACATTCAAGCGGCCGTAGCAAAGCGCCGTCCTGCTAGCTTTACCACGTGTTAGCAGCCATAGCCGAGAGCCGGAACTGTGCATTTGCCGGGCTTTAGTTCAGAAGCCGCGGTGAATGCTCGCCTCGGTGGATTTGCCACATTCTCGCCGCTGTCGCAAAAAGCCCTCGTAGCAGCCCTAGCCAAACGCTATGTCATGGTCGATTTACCGCACGGTCGCAGCCGTGGCACGGAGCCGTAGCCGTACGTCTCCCACGTTGTCGAACCGTAGCGAAGAGCCGCAGCCGTAGAGTCGCCATGGCAATAAGCAGTCAGTAACGGCGGGTCTATTTGTTGCTCAATGGCGTGGCCGCGGCAGGATCAAGGTGTTGCTTCATGACTGTACATCAAAACCGATCCTGCGCCATTACGCCAATTGACCGGCCATCTCAGCAAAACACGCTTTGAACTTTGTTGATTGAGAGGAATTGAATTTCATTCATTCAGCGCTCTTTTTCCAAAATGCTCTTGTGCGGCTTGGCGCTGTGATTGAATGTTTTGAGTGACTAAAAGTAGCCACGTTGGTTGCTCGGTGCTTTTTGGGGCAAAAAGGTTGCTGGGATTTCCAAGAGCCACCCAGGAGTGACTTTCTTCTTCTTCTTGCGTGCGTGTGTGCGTGCTTGTGCGCTTTGTTCACCCTTCCTGCTCTTGGTCCCACGATGGATGCCGTGCCATCGCACCCGTCGCCGTAACAACCACTCGGCGGGTCGTGCATTTGAGGGAGCTTTTGTGATGGTCTTTCCCGACGGCGGTTTTGGCTCGTGCCGTGTCCCCTGGTCCTTGTCAGAACCCCAGACGGCTGCCATTGGCGTGAATGCCCGCAACTCCCGCTCTTCCGCGGTTCTTGTCGCAGAATTCTCTCCCCATTTCAAGGGGACACTCGGGCGGGGGTACGATCAAACTTCCCCGAGTTTGACCCCCGAGCGAGGCTCCTGTGCGACCACCAATGAGAAAACTGCGTTTGCTTGCCCATGAACCTGTACCCAATCGAATCAGAATGAAACCAATCCGTTAGCTTGAGGCACAGCTTAGCAAAGCTTGCTAATTTAGCTTCAGGTTGTCACCTTCACGGGCCGCATCGTGATTCGCTTTAGCAAGCTAGCCGTGGCATTTTAGCATGTTAAGCCAGTGACAAAGTTCATAGCCAAGCTGATATGCCACCAACAACTCAAAAACGCGGAACGTCGTTAGCTTAGCATTAGCATGAACTCAAGTCTAATCAAACTGAATCTTTCATTGTCTTTCACGTCATCATATTTACAGGCGACGTTTTAATTAGTGTCGCCAAGTTAGCATTAGCTTGTTGGGCCTATTGCTAAAATAGTGCCTGGCTGATGTGCGAGCAACCGCTTGAAAATGAGAAACGTTGCAAATGAACTCAAGCGCGCCCGGTGGAGGCTCTCCTTCGCCACAAAGTTTCTTCCTTGAAGCAGTCGCTGTCCCCCGAGACGCCTGGTGGTGGTGGCGGCGGTGGGGGGGAGACCCAATCGGCATTCCTGTGCTCACTAACTCTTCCTCTGTCACGCAGGCGGCTTCTTGGCATCATCACAAAAAAGGATATCCTGCGTCACATGGCTCAAATGGCAAATCAAGATCCCGAGTCCATCATGTTCAACTGATCCGATCCTTTCAGGATGAGGACGAGGACGAGGAGGAAGGAGTTTGCCTCTTGGACGACAGCTATCGTTGACATTCAGGCCTCGTTTTTTCCTTTTTGTGCACTTGGTCCGCCAGAGTCCATTGACGGCTACTGACAAACGGTGGCCCGAATTGTCGCTTCCTCTTGAATCCGCTGCTGAGCAAGATCGTTTTGTTCACGGAACCCTCCTCCGACATTGTGAAGTTTAAAAAAAAGACATCTGTGAAGTTATTGCGTGCGAGTTTTACTTTCCACTACTGCTACTTTTCCCATTTGGAGTCACTTTATAACTGGAGAAACTCGGATCGGCTCCGGCTCGCCCTCGGCCCGCTCGTGCTCTCGAAAATCAATGAGCGGGGGTGGACTTTTAACGACAAATCATCTCACCCCGTGTGCATTTTACCGTCGAAGCTTGATCTGGCAATACTTTTGTCACAACAAAAACCGGAATAAGAAACGTGTTGCTTTGTGCTCTCTTTCTCCCCACGAAGCCGTCGGCGCGCGTGGCCACGTCCGTCCGTCCTGCTGAGGCCCGGCGTCGACCCGTCTGTCTGCGTTTCTTAATTTATCAAGTCGTGTAACGTTGTGATCTTTGCTTTCTTTGATTGTACATTTGAAACATGAAGAAGGTTCATTAAATTTGGATTGAAATTTCAAGAGTCTGTCATGAATAAAACATTCGTGAGGTGGGGAAAAAAAAAATTGGGACTTTTGCCGGGAGCGGGGGTGATTCTATTTGAAGGTAATACTAATGTGAAATCAAAGAAGACGACACATTTTTTTTCTCTTTTCAATCATCGCTTGTATTCACTTGGAAAAGGCATCAGGAGAGCACCGGTAGGAAGCAGAGAAGAGAGGATCCAACCCAATCGTCGCACGTGGCGCATCATCACATCAGATCGCGAATGGAACAGGGAAACGCAAAAGATGGGACGCGCGGAGACAAATCGCTCTCATTCGTTCTGTCAATTCGCAAAAAAAAAAACATTCACGAATCACGTTCTAACTTTTCTTTTGATTCCAAACCACCGACGCGCATGCATCAGTTGGACAAAGGCCCGTTTTTATTTTGAAGTCTCGCCTGAGCGTCATGCAGAGCATTCGCAATCGACGTGGCGGCTGGTTTGACTTGCGTTTTGCGAGCGGAGCCTGGCCGGAACCCCAGTATGACTCCTCCCCCATTTGGAATGAAGACGAATCCACAAGCCATTTGGAATGATTTTCAATCGAACGTGATTATTCTTGTGACGTGTCATTTTCGAGATGCGAAACTGGCACGATGGCCGAGCAGGCTTCGAATAGTTTGGGGCTTTTCATTCCAATCGTTTTGGGTTTCATCAAATTCAGTCAGCTTCAATACTTTTTAGAGCAGGTTTGTCGAGTTTTATTTGTTGTCATTTTTTGTTGAAAAAAAATGCTCTGTTTCTTCAGTCTTTACTCGACTTCGCAGTCGTTTTATTTTAACATAGCATTTGTCGAGTACTCCGGTCAAATCTTCATCAAATTCAGTCAGCTTCAATACTTTTTAGAGTAGGTTTGTCGAGTATTATTTGTTGTCATTTTTTTTGTTGAAAAAAATGTTTCTGCTTCTTCAGTCTTTACTCGACTTTGCGGTCGTTTTTTTTTAACATTGCATTTGTCGAGTACTCCGGTCAAATTAGCGACATTTCACCAAAGACTTTTTGATTTCCCTTCTTCTGTACCAAAGTACAGCAATACGGAAATAAATCGGATATGAATTGACCACGATGAAAGCAAAGGACGCTTGCGCTCATTTTTTTAGACACGTAAGATGTCGTTTCAGATTTTAAACGTTTCATTTTTCAATTGTATTTCTTGTTTTGGTCATCTGTAATGGCCTTCCATGTCAAAATTTGGCTCATTTCAATTTTTTTTCCCACAACTCTCTACTTGAGGTCAGTCCGTAGGCATGGGTATTAGACACGTAAGATGTCGTTTCAGATTTTAAACGTATTTTCGTTTTTATTTCATTTTTCAATTGTATTTCTTGTTTTGGTCAACTGTAATGGCCTTCCATGTCAAAATTTGGCTCATTTCAATTTTTTTTCCACAACTCAACTTGCGGTCAGTCCGTAGGCATGGGTTTGATTGATTGATTATTTTCCCCTTTCCAAATTATTGGTCAATTTAAAGCAGGAGAGCGCAGAGGGCCAATGAGCCAAACATTCACCTTTATCCATTGAAAAAGATATATAAAATTGTATTTCTTTATTTTTGTTGTTTTTTTTTTGTTCACTGTAATAACTTTGGCGCCAAGACTTGGGGACAAAATCTGAATTTGCTCGTTGAAAACGGAATGAACGAAGGATAGCCGGATTGCAACGCAAATAAAAGGAGTCATTTTAGCGCACACTTGCGGTGGAAGTCGACATTTCTTTGCTGATGGGGAGTTTACATTCAAGCGTGACATGAAATGAAACGCTGGCATGTGATTGGTCAGTTGCCGGAAACAGCCCGACGTTTTTTTTTTTTTTTTGGGGGTGGGGGGTGGGGGGGTGAGTCATGTTCCTCGTCACACGTGACTCTCATAAAAAACCTGACAGGGCGGCGGGCTCTTGGCGGGGGGCTCGTCGGCCGGACTCCCTCGCGCGTGGTCGTCGAGGGGCGGGGCGGGCGGCGGTTCCAGCGGCGGGTGCACCGACACCTGGATGGCGATGTGCTGGCCCCGCTCGCGCTCGCGCAGGAGGGCCAGCGCGTCCCCGGGGCCGGCCACGGCGCCGGGGCGCCAGCCCTCGGGCACCTGCCTGAGGAAGGTGTGCCGCATCTCCTCCACGCCAACCACCTCCAGGATCTCCTCCATGAAGGTGCGGCAGTTCATGATGAGCGGCGGCAGCGGGATGCTGCGCGCCAGCTCCTCGATGTAGCGCGCCAGCTCCATGGTCTTGAACTGCGTGACCTTGGCCAGCTCCAGCGTCTTGGTGGAGGTGATGATGGGGATGCGCTTGGCGATCTCAAAGGCCTTCTGCAGCTTCTCGGCGCCCTCGGTGCGGAAGAACTCGTTGATGGCTTTCTCCGTCTTCTTCAGGTGGCTGCTCATCATGCACAGGCGCGTGACGTTGAGCGCCATGATGATGGTGAAGGTCACCAGGCACACCACCATGTAGTAGACGCCCATGTCGCCCTTGGTGAAGACCACGCGCAGCGTCACCGTGCAGTTGGAGGCGCCGTGCGCGTTGGACGCCACGCAGGTGTACTTGCCGCGGTCGGCAAATTCCACGCCCGTGATGTTGAGGACGCCGCTCTCCAGCAGCCACCACTTGCCACCTGCCCACACCGACGAAAGCAGTCAAAACCAAACGACGGCGCTGCCAAAGTGGAAAAGTACGCCTTCCGACCGCAGCGGTCCCACTTGTCGGCCTCCAGTCCCGCCGTCGCCCTCGCTTTGTCTCGCTTTGACGCAGGTCCCGTCCCACCGCCCTGTCTTTTTTTTGTCAACTGTTGGACCCACCCGGATGTCAGCGACACGTTGCGATTCATACGCTCAGCCGATTCCAAAGGAATTGAAGCAGTCAACCCCTTTCCCTTTCTCTTTCTCTCTTTACTTTGCCATTCACGTTTGCATCGCAACGGAACTTCAAACTGCTTCCTGCTTCCGCGCCTCAATCTCTCGGGAAATGTCGGCAGCCCCGAGGCGAGCTGAGCCTTTCCGGTGGGGGGGGGGCGTGTTCAATGTTACAATGTGGGAGTACAAGTTTACACCACCCCTCCCCCGCAAAAAAAAAAAAAAACATTAAAAAAAATAGCATTTTGCATGAGCTAAAGTGGGAACATGTTTTGCTTGCTTTTGTTTCCCGCTGACTTTTTCCCCCCCAAGCTCTTTTCAACCCAGCATGAATTTGCACCGCGTTTCAATCGATTCCTATTTCAACACGTCAACGGTTTAACGTCATCATCGTCAAGGGACGTTTCGTGCTCGGGTCTGTCGGGTGTCGGCGGCAGGGTCAAACTCGCCAATGGGCAGCGGGTGACCCGACCGTCGTCGTCGTTTGCCGCAAAGCGAGGGGAAACAAAAGCTATCCAAATCGGAAGCCGTTCGGGCAGAACCGGAGTTGCGAGCGTCTCACCGCTACTGGCGTCCGTGTCGACGAGGTCGCCGTGAGAGTTGAACCACTTGACGCTGGGGAAGGGGTCGCCGCTGACATTGCAGTCAATCAGCACGCAGCTTCCCTCTCGGGCGATCAGCTGGCTGGCGGCGGCGAGCGCGGCCGGGACGGACCCGCCGCCATCGGCGCCGCTCCCGTCTCCCGAGGCGGCGGCGCCAAAGGCCACGAGCCACGCCACCAGCGCAAACTCAAGTCCGCCGGACATGCCTTTTCGGTGGGAGGGGGCAGGGGGAGGCTGTCAGCGGGTCATTCCTCCATCCGACGACGCCGTGCTCGCTGAGTGGCTATCTCGGTTGAGCGGCGGCAAACATCTCACTGGAAGACAAGTTGTCACAAAGCCGCTTACAAAAAAAAACATTTTTTTTAAAGATCCATCCACAGATGATACGCGGCAACCAATTCGACGGTGGACACGTTGGAAGCCACTTTTTTTATTTTTCTTGCCCTGACAACATCGATCAACATTCTCGCCAAGTGTCAGATCTTGTACGGCGCGAATGCGACCCACTGCCGTACGGACCGGTCCAGCAGCCGAGATCTTCCAAGGCTTCGAATAGTTTGCCGTTTTTCATGACGCTTCGTTTTGACTTTAGGTTTTGAAGTTTACTTCGGCTGAACTGTTGTTGTTTTTGGTGATCTCGTTTGATCATTTTTATTCGTCTTTCAACATTGCTTCATTTCGCGTTTTTAAAAAATGTGTCGTATTTGTGAAGTGCAACAACAACCAAAAAAGGTTGCCAAGTACTGTGTGATAAAGAACAGTAGACTCATCTTTTCACCCTTCTAGATTATGAAAGTCATGCATTGAAAATCAACTCTGAAAGCTCATCTATCACAGAAAATAACAGAAACAAAAGACCTTGTCGCTATAATTTGAGTTGATCAATGCAAGATGTAACTGCAGTTACTTTTTTCTCTTAAAGCATTCTGACTTTTATTTGGTTGAACAAAGCAAAATGTTTTTGTTATTTTGTTGGTCTTCGTGACCTCGAATGAATAACCTTGATCGCCGACTTGCTGGCAAAGTCCAAGTGAGGCTAAAATGTGCCCTTGGGAACATTTCAGACTCCCCCCCCCAAAAAAGCGACCCATGTGGCAACTGCTGTGAACAAAAGACGCCCAAATCGGAACTGGTACAAAAGTAAAAATCGATTCCTTTCATAGTCGATTCACAAAGTGATCATTTTTGTCGTTGAATTGATGAATTGGCTGGAAAAAAATTCTCTTTATTCAAAACCATAACAGGATTTCAAATTGCCAGTGCGGAGAATTGAAAAAAAAAGTTGATGACTGTCTGCCAAAGTAAATGCACATGTTTGCAAAAGTCCCCATGTTTACATCTCACTGTTTCAAGAACAACGGAAGTGATAAAAGAGCCACAGATTGGTTCGCACTTTGGTTGTCATCCGATTTACGACTCGCATTTTCGTCACACGCGAATGACGTCATCGTGGTGAACACTCCGCAGACCGTTCGGATAATTTGTTTTGTTTTGTTTTTAATCCCAATTCAATTATTTCGCAAAATCGTTCACCCGAAATATTTATTGTTGGCTGGCTCGAATTTTACGGATTTGGAGAATTTTCAAGATGAACGATAAAGACTGGATTATCCAAATAGCATTTGAATGCTTCGTTCGTTGTCGATTAACTGTTGCACTTCTTTCAAAAAGTGACACTATTTTGGCCAAGTAGGGCAGAGACTACGGAACCGTTTCCTAATGTCGGAAGTAATAGTGAAGATTCGTCATAAATAGAAATAATCAAATCGAGATAGCTGAAAACAGGGAAGGAAGTCATCGCACTTTCCGAAGCAAGCGTTCCCAACTGGAACCTCGACTCGTTGACATCTTTTGCGGCCACGTACATAGAACAACGAGCTAGAAAGGTGGCGTTTGCACTTTTTTTGCGTCCAAACATTTGGGTGGTTGGAAATGAAACGCCGACCCCCCGCCGTTTTCCGTTTTCTTCCCGGCCTCGTCGCAGACCCGAACGAACGGGCCGATCCGCGGCTGCAATGGAAGATTACGAAACACGTCCGACTCCTCCACTCACTCCCGGATAGTGCTGCTAATGTGCGAGGGGGGGAGAGGATTACACTTCCATATCGTTCCGTGCTTCTTTATACCTTCTGCGTTCCGTTATATAATTTTGTTATTATATGTGAACTGTTCTGTAAATCGCTGTTACAGCCCCAGCTGCTGTGAAAGCGCTCGAGCTATCTATGTGTGCGCGCGTGTACATGTAACTGTCGTGCTTAATAAACGGGTGCGGGATACGGCTATGAACTGGACGCTGGTTCTTTGTCGCGGCAAGCAACCGCCCCGGAGTGCAAATAAAGCGGACGGAAATGGAACACGATGCCCGCCCGTGGCGACGACAAAAACGAGAAGGGTTTTACGTTTTTTGTTTCGAGCCGAGCCGAGCTCTCCTCTCTTCTGGTCTGGTCTGGTCTCGGAGAATGTCGCAGTGGGGTCGCGTTGCAAACAACGGAAATCCTCAGCGGCACGTCGACGACGTTTGGCGGAATTTCTCCAAAGCGCCGCGCTGACTTGGCCGCTTTTCTTTTCTTTGCCTATTTGTGGACTTCGGTGCTCACGTCGGGGCTTGTCTGCTGGGACAAGATGGGGCGACGATGCTCGCTCGAGTCGAGTCGAGTCCGGACGGGCCGTCGTCAAGTGAGCCGCTTCCCACGCCCCGACCCCTCCTTTCTTGTTGCCCCCCCCTCCCCCCTCCGCATGCCTCAAAGTGGTTCGCCGCGGCGGGGCGCTGCCGGCTTGCATCCACCCGCCCGGCGCTCCCCATCAAGCGCTCAAGTAAAAGGCGAGCTTTTCCCGTCTTCGCGCCGGCATTCAAAGCGGCCCCCCACTCTCAGTCTGAGGCTCGCCGCTTTCCTCCTCTTCCCTTTCTGCCCGACAGCCCACTTTCCACTTCTCCTTTGTCTTTGATGTTTCCATGTTGTCACATTTGACTTGAAATTGTGTTTTAAAAAAAGGGTAAATTTTTGAGGGCTGATGGCTGAAGGCTGAACATGCACCCCCCCCCCCCGAGGATTGCCTGCATTTATTGTTGCATCAATCACAGCACGTCATCCAGGTCCTGAAGCATCCAAGCGGGCCCAGACTGTCACCTTACCACCGTCATGGTAAACCCTTGCGATCATCATCGTTTTCTGAAACGCTGTGTTACATTTAGAATATTCTCGTGCTTTCAAATGCGTCCGTTTGGCTGCCCGGTTCTGGATGCCCAAGATTACTCGGTGGATTCCTTTTTGTCTCCACTCCAGAACGTTGGACGAGAAAGTGTTTCAAAAGAATACGGGCCCATCTGCGGTACAATTGGAAAAATATTTGCTCCCTCAAATATTCTGGGGGTATCGTTTTTGCACTTTAAAGATCAACAAACACATTTACATATAAAAAAATAACCCAAGTCTAAATATTTGTCGTCTGTGTATATTTCATGAACATATTCATTTCTAGACTGCCTCATTTAATTCGTGAGGCCCCACTCAAGTAACGTGTTACTAGGTGGTCGTCTTGAGCATCTCTCATGGACAGCTTTGGTTGAGGTCAATAAATAAGCCGTCTGGATCAGGATTCCTGCTTCGTTTGCCTTCATCTTATCAGAAACCGAATCTGTAAAAAGATCCATTTGCGTATCTCTGACATTATTTTAAATGCTTGTGTTTGTTGGGGGGGGGGGGGGGGAATACACGAGAAGAGGATCTTGGAAAAAAAATAATTGCCTATAAAATCGGAATTGCAATGTTGGGGGGGGGGATTGCAATTTGGTGATATCCCCAAATTGCACATCCCAAATCACAAGCCCTCTCTGATGAGATCGGCGAGGCGTCTGAAGGCCTGTTGGCGGGGAAAGGGCAGAGAGTCGGTGTTTTGGATCGTATCGTGTCGTGCGTGCGTGCGTGGTGGTTTTCGCTTGCGCGTGCGTACTTCATCCATCTGCTCAGGCGTGGACAGCGAAAAGGCCGCCCTGACGTGAGACGACGGCTCGCTACTGTCGATGGAGAACACGGCTCCCGGGACCAGCAGCACCTTTGAAGGAAAAAAAAAAAAATAAGCGGGACAGGGCGTAAGCACACGCGACAGGGCCGGCCGGGCGCCGCTGCTGGCAACCTCGACGGCGCGGCGTCAGTGCCTGCACACCTCTTTCTCCAAGGCTTTCTCCACGATGAGCTGACGGGTGTCGCGGACGCCCGTCAGCTCCAGCCACAGAAACATCCCCGCCGAGGGCGCGTGCCATTTGGCCAAACCTGAATCCCATTGCGCAAAGGTTAGACACGGTTTTCCACATTTGCTTCTCCTGTTCGGGGTCGCGGGGAGCTGTTGGTTCTTTGCGTTGTACCTGTGAGCCACTTGTGGGCGGAGCTCATCATGGCGTCCCGCTGCTTTCTGTAGAATTCGATCACCCTGCGGCAAGGCGGAAAAAAAAAAAAACAGGACGGCTTCCGATACTCGTCTTCGCCAAACGCTGCGGGGACAACATACCCGTCGATGTGCTGAAGAAAGCCATCTTGGCCCCAGTTGTGCAAGAGCTGCGACACCATGAGCTGCGCAGGAAGGAGGGCGAGACGCACACGGAGTCGGGATCAGACTTTTTCAAACCCCAACTTGGACCGCGTGCCCAACGCGTCCTCATCCCGCGATTCACGTCTCCCCGCCGGCTTCGTCTTGGACCGCGATCACTTTGGAAACGGCGAGCCGAGCCCCGATTTCCATTTTGGCTTCCCGCCGTCATTCCCGGCAAAAACCACGTGACACGGGTGGCGAACTGAACGGCAAGAGCTACTTTGTTTCAGAGGCGCATCGCCGGCTTGACGCTCGCGTTGCACGCCTCATGGATGCCCGTCAAAAAGCATTTCCATTTTGGTCCTTTTTTTGGAACTCCCCTTTCCCAGAGAAAAAGATAAACCGACAATATACATTGTACCTCGCCCCACAAAAAAAAACCCCAAAGCGCACGAAGCTATGTGGCCTCCCGTCGTTTGTTGTGACGCGGTGGTTCTTGTTTGCCATCGTCTCACGAAGCACGATCTTTTGGCTCCCGATCGCGGCGACGGCAAACGTTGCCGAGGCTTCATCCGTCCGTCCGCGCGAGCGAGGGGGCGCAAAGAGCGGCTCACCTGCGTGAAGGTGCTGGTGTGCATGCTGGAGGCCTGGATGTGCAGCACCACCCGCTCCACCAGCGGCTTGGGCCCCGTCACAAAGCCGATCCTCAAGCTGAGGCGGGCAAACGCCGCGTTAAAAGTCGGCAAAAGGGGCAAAGCCGAGCCCGGCGCGGGGCCGTGACGATCGGGGCTGCTCACCCCGAAGACAGGATCTTGGAGAAGGAGTCCATCCTGATGATGCGGCCGTCCACGTCCATGGAGAGGAAGGTGGGCGCCCAAGGCCTGTCGAACTGCAGGAAGTAGTAGGGGTCGTCCTCCACGATCAGCAGGTCGTACAACCTCGCCAGCTGCGCACGGTGACAAAAATCAGCCACGCGTGGCGGCTTTGGCGCACGTGGGCCACGGACCCGCTTCTACGGTGAAAGCGTTTTTGCAAATGTCCCCGGAGAGGGGCTGTTTCAGAAGCTCCCTCGCCGCCATTCACTCGCTTTTGCAAAGCGACAAGGCTTCATCCGGCAACAAATGCAAAGTCGACTTGGCATTGTTGTAAAAACAAGCCACGTGCCTGAACTTGGCGCATTTGAGCGGCGGCCGCCTGGGCGGAATGCCTTGTTGCGCTTACGTGCATTTGGACGGGCTACTCGGCGCCGACACGATGGCTGACGAGTGGTCGTTTCGCACAGCATCCGCAGGCGGGGGTTCGTGAACTCGACTGCGCGCAAATGTTCACGCCGCCTCTCCATTTGAAATTCGGCATCGCGCTATTTCCCATAATGCCGATCGACAGGTCGTATCCGAGAAGCATAACGAGCTCTTCATTCTCGTCAGCGACGCTTTTGACTTTGCTCGTGTGCGGAGGCCGGTCGACGCGTGCATTTTCTTTCAAGTGGCCTTACTGTGGACGCGATGCTACACGGTGACTCTTTGCTCACGCTTCTCGTGCGCTAAGGCGGCAAAGTGCTCGTCTCGATCGAGGCTCACGACAAGTACGAAGGATTTCCCTCTCCTGCAAGATTCTTGGAGATTGCGCATCGGTCGGCGTGCGGGGGACAGTCGATGGACAGGAAAGGCACCTGGTAGATTTCCTTCTTCCTCTGCGCGGTCAAGGATGCCCCGGTGGGGTTCCCCCCGTTGGGAATGGTGTAGAGGACCTTGGGCCTGCGAGCGTCCGACGGGTCCCAACGGGACAAGACCTCCTCGAGGGCCGCCGGTATCATGCCGTGCCGGTCGCTGGCGACGCTGACGATGTTGCAACCCAGCGGCTGGAGCTGGTTTACAAGACAAGAGGCGGCGGTTGGAGCGGTTTTCGCCGCGAAAGTCCCTTTGGGCGGGCCGGCCGCTCTTACCGCCGCCAGCGTTCCGGGGTAGGTGGGCGAGTCCAGCAGCACGTCATCTCCCGGGCCGACCAGCATCTCCATCACCTGCCACACCGCACGGAAGCTGAAACGGCGCCGCGGAGCGCCAGATCAAAAACGGGCCGGGCTGGGATGGGGTGGGGCGGCACGCACCTTGCAGAGTCCCTGCTGGCTCCCCGTGGTCACACACATGTCCATCTGTCCCTCCTCGCGACCGGAGGCGGCCGTCGGCGGGTCGTGGAGCCTCTTCTGCAGCTTCTTCATCCACGTCAGCAGTTCGGGGATTCTGCGCCCGGGTCACACGTTTCCATGAGCTCTCATACGGGACAAAAGTAACACTGACCTTGAGCGCGCACCGCAACACTGAGCACAACATTTTGACTATCTCATTTTAAAAAAAAAGTTGCAAATAAAAACATGTTTTTGTGAATAAGGGAAGATTTGGGGGGGGTGTTTGATCATTTTTCGGGTATGTGCACGCGCGAGAGTTTATGTGGTGAGCGTGAGAGTTTTGGGAAGTGAGAGAGGGAGTGATTTGGTCTGTCTGTGTGGTGTGCGTTGAGAACAGCGTGACAAGTTGAAGCACGTTACCCATTGGAGGCGGAGTACTGGAGGGCCCTTTTCATGGCCACCTGGTCGAAGGAGACCTCCGGGCCGTCCTTGACCTTGATGACGGCCGACTCGAAAGGGAAGGTGTCGGGGTTGGGCGCCCCTGCGGCCAGTGAAATCAGCGATGGAGGCGAGCGCTGCTGCAGCTCCGCTTTGGACCCGCAGCGCACCGGGAGAGCGGGACGGGACGACCACAAACAAAGCACATTCATTTGTGCATCCGCAAGCATGCACAACGCTTCACTTTCATTTTGGACTTCATTCTTTAAATATTGCTAGTCTCTAAGTCCTTACTTTTTTTTGTGCTATGTCTGACTGAATAAGTAACATTTTATGGCCTTTTCGCCTCTAGCCGCTGCTTATCCAACCTGGTAGATGTGCTGTCAAAAGAAAACCTCAAATATCCAAGCGCCCCCCCCCCCAAAAAAAAAAAGATTCTCTCATGTTTTCAGTATGAGATGATGTGTGTGGCATTTTGAGAAAAAAAATAATAAATGTGAAAATTGCGCTGTCAATACTTTCCGTGGGCGCTAAACGTTTACTCATGCGTTTATTTTGTGGACACTCACTCAGCATTCTGATGGGCGACGGCTTCCTTGCTGCACTGACAGCCGTGAGGAATCGAGCGTAATTCATGTTTCCCGTCGGCAGCCTTGCCCTGCAAACCACTCGCAGGCACTCCAGTCAAGTGTTCCTAATAATGCGACAAGCCTTTTTCAAACCGCTACAACTTGACAACGCTTGTCATAAAGCGGACATATGAATCCTCGTGAATGACAAGCTCGGGTCGGCACTGAGAAAAGTAAATCTCGTCGTAGGCTTATGACGTCACCGACCTGGTGCGCCTCCTGACGCCGGTTCATCGAGTACTTCCGGGAACGTCAACCAAATCAAAAGTAAATAAATCAAACGCACAGGCCGAGTCCCGTTCGGAAAGGCGGGGCCACGCAAGACACGCTTACAGCAGTGATTCCCAACCTTTTATTTTCGAGCTGAGGCAAATATTTCCCCACGGGAAAAAAAAAAAAATCTCACCGCGCACCACTGAGCAACATGATGAGCGAAAAGGGCATACGGTACGCCGGTTAAAATGACATGGGTTTACCTCTGTCATCTACCGGAAGAGCATTTGTTTGTTTCGCCTGTTACTATGTGTGGATGGCATAGATAAATTGTCAAAACAAGGTTTTCATTCGAAAATCATTGTTTTTGCCAAAGTGATTGACGTGGGATGTGATCCCGCTTTACACCTGTTGCGAATCACTGGCTGCCAATGCAAAGTTCATGCAAAAATCAAGCGCTGCTCATGCTGTGCGTCCCGTTGCCGCGAGAGGGCAGTGAGCGTCAGCATGACAGCAAAAATGGACGGAACTAGAGGAAGATGCGTCAGTTGTGTGTTGTTAGCATTAGCTCGTGCCAGCAAACGGAACTCCTGACTTTATCTCTTACTCTTTAACGTTGGATCCGCCGATTTCTGAATGCTTTCTGGCCGCCAAATCCCATTTTTATGGTGACCAAATTTAACAGTCGGTACTTTGCGGCGCGAGTCAAGTTTGCGTGGACTTATTTTTGGGTGCCTTTGCTGACATGCACTGAAGAGCCTCTGCTGCTGTCGTGATTTCAATGGGGAAAAGGAAAGACGTGGTTCATTCCAGATTTCTCTGTAAGTATCGACTCTCTTGACGAGTGTAAATGACCCCCCGCTAAACGTCAGGCAAGCCCCCTCGCTGGCCATCTTTAAAACTCGCCCGAAAGCTCATTTTTATTCTTTGCCTTTTGACTCAGCATGAGGCTTGCTTTTTAGTTGGACTGCTTCTGGCGCTTTTACTGTCTTCATGATTCATCGGTAGTTGTATCGTTTGTTGTTGTACGTCTTATTTTTGCTCCGTGTGCAAGCACTCGGTATACAGCGATGATCGTTTTCAAGTGCCCCCAAAAATACAGTTGCGTTTTCCCTTGCAGGCGAAGGCGGCTTGGGGCCGCACGGCATGCACAAGCACAAGCATAAAAAACACAAGAGGCACAAGAGGAAACATCACGGCCTCCCTGCGGTGCCGGAGCCCGTCGTCGCCCCTCGGCCACCCCCGCAGCTGCGACTCAAAATCAAGTTGGGAGGGCAGACGCTGGGGACGAAGAGGTGAGACTGACTGACTGACTGACTGACTGACTGACTGCCACACGTCACGCGCAGTTGGCCATGCCCGTTTCACTGCTGCTTTGACCCTGCAGTGTTCCGACTTTCACCGTGCACCCGGGCGTGGCTTGTCCCCCCTCACCACTGATGATTGTGGAGGATGATGATGATGACGCGGAGGAAGATGACGAGCCTTCTGTGCCTCTGGAGCAGTATCGGGCCTGGCTGGGTGAGAAGCAGTCTAGCGAAACCCCCCAGTGATGATTTTTGACCGTCGACTCGTCGCTGATTATTTTTTTTGCCATGAGCCCAGAAATGGCAGCTTATGATGGGTCGGCAAATAGATGTTTGTTTTTAGGTGACCATCGGCCTTTTGTCACCAAATACAGAGCTCGTTGCGCCAAAAATAAGCCTCCAGGAAAAACGACAAATTGCCCAAGAATGCAACCAGTTGAGGGTGTATCCCGCCTGTGGCCCCAAGACTGCTGGGATAGGCTCCCGCGACCCTCGTTGGGATAAAGCGCTTCGGCTAATGGACGGATGGCCAAGAATGAACATTGAATTTGCTTCCATTTAATTGCGTTGCTGCTCAGGCGTGTGCACAGAAAGAACCCTGCTGGTGCTCTGCCACATTTTTTCCTTCCTGCGAATCAATACTTAAAACATGAGAAAAATACTTCCCGCAAAAATGTTTTGATATCAGATGGGCATTTCAGTTGTTCGAATTTTTCTGCTTGCTCTTTGAACAAGGGCACGTCGATGACATATATGCATGCCCTGTAACTTCTCCCCAGCCCTTTGTGTACTGACCGCGTTAACGTAAATGAATGCGTAGAACCGTGTTTCTGAATTCTGTGAAGAATTTTTTAGCAATGGGCGTCCTGTTTTTTTTTTTTTTTTTTTTTTTTTGCGCCTGCCGAAATGTCTGTGCGCACATGTCATTGTCCGTCTCAGATGAAGACAGCAACATGGCCACGTCTCCTCTGGCCGACATGGACTCGGACTCCATGTTGGGAGTGCCTGTGGACGAGGAGGAGAGGTGGCTGGACGCTCTGGAGAAGGGGGAGCTCGACGACAACGGCGAGCTGAAGAAGGAGGTCGACGAATCTTTGCTCACGGCCCGACAGGTGAGGAGGAGGAGGAGGATTTCGTGTGTGTGTGTGTGTGTGTGTGTGTATACGCACGCACATTTTTTTGCCCACAGACACGTTGTGCATTTCAGAAAGCGCTACTCCACAAGCAGCAGATCCAGCCCCTCTTGGAACTGCCCATGGGCTACAAGGAGAAGGAGATGACCGCCGAGATGATGCAGAAGCGGGAAGAGCGCGCTCGCAAGCGACGCTTGCAGGCGGCCAAGAAGGCCGAGGAGAACAAGAACCAGACCATCGAGAGACTCACCAAGACCAGCAAGGCCAAGATGAAAAGCACGCGGGAGAAGAAGTCCAAGCAGAGCCAGTGTCCCATGGTCCGATACAGCGACTCGGCACGAGGCGTGACCGTCTCCTTCCCCGCGGGCGTCCCTGCGCCCGAGGCCGCGCCCGGCGCTCCGCCGCCCGCGGCC